CACACACACACACACACACACACACACACACACACACACACACACACACTGAGAGCTGAGTTTAGACCAAAACAACCCACTAATCGCTCCCGTCTGTCTCGGATCAGATCACCGGGGTCTTTAACCTCGATCCGTGAGGCGACAGAATGAAAACATGTGTGTGACTCTCTCCTGACACTGTCAAGCGCGTGGGTCCACTTCCACAGAGAAACTGCACTGAAGTCACTTGGCAGATAGATAGAAGGATACTTCAGCAATCTAAATGGAGAATATAGGCACCCATTAGCAAACAAAACAGTCAAACACGAGAGCATAAGAACAATAAAAGGTCAAAATGAGTCAAGAATAAGTTCACTGCAGAGAGATGAAGGTCCAGCCACCAGAACTAGAAAGCTGTCACTGTCAAGACAGTATGTGTTAATGGAGATATTGACAATACAAATATTTGAAGTATAAGGTGATTGAAAGACACAAGTAACTTGAAGACAAATATAAATACAGATTTTAAGATAAATAATGGAAGCTGTACAAAGTTGTGCATTAGACTAACATAGTAGAATGATGGTACATCAGATGTAAACAAGTTCACAAGTAGCACTCCAACTTAAAGCACAACAGAAATCTACAGAAAGCACAAAACCGGCATATTCACTGTGCCAGACTCTGTTACTCTCCCTTTGTTGTTATCTTAATGATTAAATATCCGCCAGATTCAATTTAATTCCAGTAGTACATCGACCAATACATCAGTTTAGCATTAGCTTGTAGCAGGAGCAGTCTATGGTGGAAATTTATCTCGAGATGTGAAATAAAGAGTTTCTCAGACCGGAGTTGTCTTTAGGTCATCTAATAGGAAGCAGAGGGTTTCACAGTGGAACAACCCCGAATAGGGAAAGAAGAAGGTTTTATACAGTCAGGTAAACAGGAAACATAAGAGAAATCTGTTTCTGAGTAATGGCATGAAAAACTGAAGCCGCCTGTAGTCTGGTTAACACAGGAACACAAAGGAAGCTGTCTGCCCTTGCTTCTGCAAGAACAAGGGCAGACAGCTACTGCAAAGATCATGGTCATCAAGAGGATCCTCAATGAGAAAGGACAAGAACTCTGAGGTTACATCTGCCAAGTGCATAGCAACAGTCATGGCATTGGATAGTTAAGGGTAAAAAAGTAAAAGGTGTCTGTCTAGTTTCAAATCGTCCGTCCGCACGTATGCCAGGCAGTTCCTCTTATGCAAGCACAATTGGGTTTCTATATGAGTTATTGTTGAACACAGCACATGAGCATTGATCAGACAGAAAAGATTTCAAGCTACTTTCATATGCAAGTTTTCCATTACAAGTCCATGTTCTGTTTGCCAGATCTGGGCCCCAAGTAAACCACAGCAATGCCACATGTCAACCAAAGATGGCCTGAATTAGTGAATAGTGCTATCTGTGCCATATTTACCATGTGGGCCACTTTCGGGTCACATCCAGATGAAACCTATAGCGCAGCGCATGTTTGCCCCACATTTGTTTTGGGCTACTTGGGCCACATTTGCCATTTTATAAGTGGGCCATATCGGGCTTACAGTGATAATGTACAGGCCACAGGAAGGCCATAAGTGTATGCTGATAACAACAGCAACATTTTACTGGGGCACATCTTCTGATCAGTCATGTTAAAATGATTTATGTGGTCCACAGTTTAAGACGCAACTTCTGTATGGTCAGTGCATTCACTCCAATACAAGTCCAGGAACGTTGATTTCCAGCTTTGTGAGATCGTTGTCCAATCTGTTTTGTTGTCTTTTCCTGTCCAAAAGACTTGTGTCAACGCAGAGTGAAATTAGGTTTAGGGCAAACGTCAACTGTAAATGTGATTTGGGAAATTCAGCATGTAAAATTTGTCATTGTTGGATCTGTATTTAGACCCAGAAAGTGTTTAAAAGTGTATAATATGAAACTAATGTATTGCATCTTTTAATTCCTGTAATGCACATGTTAAAGACAATTTAACCATGCAGATAATTGAGTTTATTGCCCATCCTGACACAATAGTTTGCAATTTAATATTTTGTAAGTCTTTTTATGATTTATTAACACAATACTGTCCATGCAATCCTTTAAACTGTTCACTTTAGTAATACAAATAATACAAGGAAATGTTTACACACAACTGATCCTATTTGTGTGTGTGTGTGTGTGTTGTAGGTCTATGTAGACAACTTGGACATTGCAGTGCTGGAGAGTGGAATATTAGCATGAAGGGCCCCAGCTCCAGATGGGCCTTCTCCCTGGGCTTCCTGGTGGGAGCCTGCAGCATCTACTTCTTCCTTCACCAGGTGTGGTTTGAGAGGAGCTACCCTGTGCTGTCGGAGGCTCAGGAGCGGGCCACAACTGTCGGGGAGACACCAACGAGTTGGAGGAAAGAGGGAGCCGCTCTCTTCAGCCTGCTCCACCCTCAACATGCAGGTGCTTTACACATCACTGTATCAAACTTATTTATTTATGACCAACTAAAAGTCAGGATGGAGCACTGATATTGGTCAAACTCTAACAGTTGTGTTGGTTATTGGTGACATTGGGGCCGATCAAGTCGGTACAATATTTTTCAGTCTGCATGCATCATCACCAAACAAGTAGCATCTTAAAGCACAACAGAAATCTACAGAAAGCACAAAACCGGCATATACACTGTGCCAGACTCTGTTACTCTCCCTTTGTTGTTATCTTAATGATTAAATATTCGCCAGATTCAATTTAATTCCAGTAGTACATCGACCAATACATACGTTTAGCATTAGCTTGTAGCAGGAGCAGTCCACGGTACGGTGAGAAAACACATCAGTGCTGTTCTTCTGCTGGCAGTTAACTCTTTTATCCCGGGTATCTCTGGAGGATTTCCGCAGAATTGGTTCCAGACTTTCTCCGGAGGTTCCTTTCTACGCATGCAGTGGTGTAAACAATCACTTTACCAAGCTTTACCATCCCTATGTGAGCTTACTACAGGCATCATGCACCCTATTGTTAACCCTGATTTTTTTATATATATTGATTTTGTTTTATTAGATTATCTACAATATATTCTGGACATAAAGGGAACCGAAAACAAAGGGATGGCAAAATAGTTTGTTTAAATCAGGTTTAATCTTTCAAAGAATGATTCAAGTGTCTTGCACAAAGCCAAGCCTACAACTTAATTAAACACTACTCTCATATTGGCCCATACCAAAGTCCTCTTATCATTGTTATTAGGAATGACAATATCATATCTGTGCATCCCTAACTAATAGATGACATCATATGATAGGAAACAATGAGCAGATAGGGTGTATGCTATTTGGTTTGGAATTAGCCATGGTAAAAGATGGAATTGTTCACAGAAGCACAAAAAGACAAAATCTTATCTTTCAGTTGCAGTGCATAATATCTTCACATTTGATTTAATCTAGACTTTTTCAGGAAAGTTGTGCAAGGTTTTCATTCACATATTAAAGGAAAGGGATCATGTAAGTACAGGCTTAACATGCACACAGTATTGTTAGTCCACTGATTGGACGAGAAGTCATGGTCATGCGTGAAGAGTGCCAGGATTTAAACTCATTTTTGGAAGATTCATGAATCTCTGCAGACTTACACAGAGAGGGGTATTGTAGGTTTCAGAGAAACTCTCATGCTATCTCTCACATCTAAAATCCTAATGATGCATAAGATCTGTGACAAGGAAGTGGGTTGGTTGATTGCAAGGTATGACAAACAAGTATAAAATAAACTATGTTAATGTATCTGCAAATGGAAATATAAAATCAGCTTTACAGTTCGAATCACAAATAGAAAAGTTTTACTGCACACCAGTTAATATTTTCATGTACTGTTTGCTTTGTCCCTCTTTTAGATGAAGACAGCAGGGTGGCAGATGTGTTGTACCAGAAGATCCGTATTCTCTGTTGGGTGATGACAGGGCCGTATAACCTGCAGAGTAGGGCCTACCATGTCAGGGCCACCTGGAGTCGCCACTGCAACATGGTGGTGTTCATGAGCTCCGTGAAGGACACCGACTTCCCCACTGTGGGACTGGGCACTAAAGAGGGCCGTGACCAGCTCTACTGGAAGACAATCCGAGCCTTCCATTATTTGTACGAGCACCATGCAGATGAAGCTGACTGGTTCTTAAAGGCGGACGATGACACCTATGTAGTGGTGGACAACCTGCGCTGGATTCTGTCCAACCACACCCCCGAACAGCCTATTTATTTTGGTAAACGCTTCAAGCCTTACACCAAGCAGGGCTACATGAGCGGAGGAGCAGGTTATGTGCTCAGTAAAGAGGCCCTCAGGAGATTTGTGGAAGGCTTTCGGACCAAAGTTTGCACACACACCACCCCTGTAGAAGACCTAGCACTTGGGCAGTGTTTGGAGAAGATGGGCGTCCTGGCTGGTGACTCCAGAGATACTTTGCACAGAGAAACTTTTCATCCATTTGTGCCAGAGCACCATCTAACTAGCAAGTTCTCCAAGAGCTTCTGGTACTGGAGCTATTGTTACTATCCAATCGTTGAGGCAAGTCCTTTATCCTCCTCTTTATTTGTAAACTATTGCTACAAAATGGTACTCCAGGGTGAAAAGCAGAAAAAAAGTGGTGCAAGTATCTATCACTTGAACTCAAAGTGTCTCAGAGAATGGGCCGTCCATTTTGAATCTCGCTGCAAAACTTTTGCTTGTATTGTTTTATCACTTGAAAGTGTGCATGCCTGTCACTAGACACTGGCAAGATTGTCATAACGACAACTACTGCTCACTAATGGATGCATGTGGACACATAACAAAGTAAGCTTTTGCGCAAACAATGCCATGCTAGCTGTTCATGTGATGCTAGAGGCATTTACATTTAACAGCCATCTCTGCCTCGTCTCTCCAAGCTCATTCATCCGTTCGATGTCAGATAGGACCCGTATTTGCTTTAACGTAATTTGAATGGCAAATGCCTGTGCTGCAACTTGTGCTCTAACTTGAGCACTCCGCTCGCAACGCAAGCCAAGCAACCCCAATTCATTCTGGCAAAACATGACGTCAACCCATTCAAAGTGAATGAGACGTGTTTTTGTTGAACTCTCCAATGCGTGCTGTATGTGTGAGTGCTGTGTAACTACCTCAAAGTGGCCCTATAAAAAGAAAAAGACTCAAAGTGGTTTATGGGTAATTCCTCGATTCAGACGGACTGGGAGTTAGTCTTATTAAAAGGGGGCATGTGAGGTTAGGAAGAAAAGCCACTGAATGAGAGACCTGGTGAAAAATCCTTTAATATCATTAGCGAACACCTGCTTTTAAAGTGAGAGAAATATTCTTTCATTTGGAAATGTACAGTCAGGACCTACTGAAAATGATTCATATACAGAGTAAACAATTTTACCTTGTTTTTGATGAATCAAACTAAATATTGGTTTTGCTGTTAATCCGTCATCAGGCTGATAGTAGCTAAATTAATATGTGAGTACCTGGCACATTTGAATTCTGTGTCTGACCTCTGAGTAGAATGGGTGAATTTAAATAGGAATGAGTTCATTTCAAGTACACAAATGCAGCCGAGACAATGTCTTGGCAACAAAAGGAAAATTGGTCAATTTGTAGCTGAAGATGCAACTAATTTATTGTACTTTGCAATTATAATGAGTTGGGTCCATTACTGATCTCGTCAGACGCTGCCTGTCAGTGTATGGAGCTTCTTTGTCCCTGGTCTGTGAAAGGAAACGAGAAAACAAATTTATTTTTGATACTAGAGTAATTGTCTTTTTATCACACTGTATGAATGTCAGTAAATGTTAATTTATAAGAAAAATAAGGCTGGAGATCTTTTATATTTTCGTTATTATGAACAAAAACTAATTTTGAAGGCTGTTGACCTCTGACAAGTTTTTCCATGGAGCCAAGAACTGACATTCTCATCTTTATAAGTTTGTTCATGCCTCAACTGTTCAACAACATTTGAAAATGAAAGCCACTGTGTTGCAGCCTAATGAACACGGACACTGTAGTTATTCTGTTGTATTATTATTGTTTAAAATACTCACTAGAGCACACAATGTGTTTTAATCTACAACAGAAAGTACAGACTACTTTTTGATAAAATAATCACTGTCTGATAGTGGAAAATTACTTTTTTCTCATAAATGAAACTGTAGATTTTTGAATTGTTCACCAGCTCTGGGAACAGAGGGACATGTTTGTTTTTGTCTTTTCCTTGGATTTGTAGAATAATGCCGACCTAATCCTTTAAACAAACACGAGACGTGTTACGTGACTTATTTTTCATGCAAGATTAAGTCACCCCATGTACAGTATATTACTGTATAAATGGAAGAGTGATGGCTCAGAACTGTCAGTGTATGTTAATTTATTAAAAACGGGATATGGTTGAGGATTATATTCTTATTATGGACAAAAACCAAGGCCAGTAATGCATTGTTCCATGAAAAAGCATTGTCTTATACATCTAAAGACCAAAAGTCTGTTATAGCCATGAAACTTGTGACATCTGACTGCAGCGTGGTGAATGACGGAGGCTCCCATTTGTTTTGTAAATATTGCTTTAACCCACTTAGGAGCCATTTTTATATAAAGTCCCTGTTTTCAGAAGCTCACAAACAGTTGGACAGATTATATCAAAACTTGGACAGAAATTATTTTCAGTCAAATCTGAAATATGGAACCCATGGGCATCGTCAAATTAACGTGTCCTCCCTTTAGATGCTTTTCCAGGCCTTTACTGCAGCCACCTTCAGTTGTGGTGGGTCTTTCTGCCTTGTTTCACCTTCACAAAGTGAACCATGTGCTCAGTTGGGTTGAAGATAGAGGACATCCTGTTTGTTTTCCTTTAGAAGAGCTTGGTTTGTTTTGACAGTATTTTTAAGTCATTATCCATCATGCATCAATACCACATTATATATTTATATTCTGTTCCCATGAAGAGATGGCAAATGCAAATTCAACTCTTGGAATCAACTCCAGACCTTTTTTGTCAGGCCTCACTTTGATCATCAATTTTCCAGTTACTTCTGAGGCTCTGAAAATGGAGGAACCATCTAAAAGATTTTTAACGTTTGATGTAATATTTTTTGTTAAACCCCTTTGGGATTAAAAAGTCAGTCACATCCTGACGGCTTTCGTCTTAAATCCATTGTGGTAGAGTCTAGAAGTAAAAATGTGAAAACTGAAACTTTTAAAGCTAAAATGCATCTTTAGTTAATGTTACATTGCTCTGTGCATATGTATGTACGCGTATGTATTTTGCATGTTTCCTCGTGTGTGTGATCTGTGCTTTGTTCTTCCTCAGGGTCCACAGTGCTGCTCTGACCTGGCAGTATCGTTCCATTATGTGGAAGCAGAGCTGATGTACACACTGGAGTATTACACCTACCACCTGAGAGCGTACGGCTACAGGCCACGCTATCAGCCGTCGCTTCGCCGGGGTCTTAGCCTCGGTACCCTCGCACAGCCCGCTGTGACGTCAGGATTTAAAGGAGCTCAAGAGGTGACTGCTGGAAGGTCTCACACGACTGCAGCCTTTTCTGTCAGTGGCAACCAAACCAAAGTGAAGATGGAGCCAGAAGAAGGCAGGAGAGACCATCAGAACTCACAACTCACTGAGAACAGGACGACAGTCTCACACGACAGAAAACACTGATCCTGTGTTTAACTCTAATGTGTCTGATTGAATGTAGAGACACTTGTTTCTACTTGTACTCAGTGATCTGGCTTCCACGTCTGTGCCAGAGAGTGTATGACCACAGCCAGTATGACACTGTAAGCCCTTGGCACAGTCTTATTCAGTGGCAGCTGCAAATGGCTGAGCTATTTTCAAAGAAGATAAACACTTTGTTTAGATTAATTAAACCTGACATGTTTGAATTATTGACACGACACAGTCATAGATGTGTGCTTGGGGCGATGCAGGATATTTTCATCTGTTTCATGTGGGGGCCAATAAGGCAGTGATGGATGTCAGAAATATTTTTTTAATATCATTAATTATTTATTTATTTCTGTAAATGGAGAACAGCAGCGAAGTATTTAGCCTCTTACGGACACTTTGCTTTTCTGATGTTAAATTTGACATTCTGGTGTTACTGTTACTGCTTAGATGTTTAAAGGGATAGTTCACCCAGAAATGAAAATTCACTCATTATCTACTCACCACTATGCCGATGGAGGGGTGGGTGTTTGAGTCCACAAAACACATTAGGAGTCTCAGGGGTAAATAGTGTTTCAGCAGAATCCAATACAATTGAAGAAATTAGTGACCAAAGCTTCAGACATAATAAAACAACAGAAAACCTGCCTCCATACAGCTTGTGTGGTGTCATCCAAGTGTGCACAAGCCCTGACATTCATCATAGGTCTAAAGCCTTGGTCACTAATTTCTTCAACCTCTCCATCAGCATAGTGTTGTGTAGTAATCGGGTGAATTTTCATTTCTGGGTGAACTATCCCTTTAAATTTGATTATTAATTTTTTGGGATTTTGGAACAAATTAATTTTAAATATATGTTTTTGTTGTATATTACCTTTTAGTTTTCTTTTTGAGTCCTCTGGAAATCCACAGTCAGTCGTGATGTTGTTTTCAGAACTGTGCTTATTATTTTATTGTGTGTACCTGAACCCCTCTGTTTGAGAACACTGCTTCTGATGAACACAGTATTATACAAAACTCCATTAAATTCCTCTTGTCAAGTCATTTTACATAACACAGCAGTGAAACACAGCAGCAGATGGTATTGAATGTGACTGTGTGCACTTGAGCCACAAGTTAAAGATCTCTCAAAAAAGCAGCAGGAAAAAACACCCATGTTTTGAATGAATAAATTCGGTATAAAAAAATTACGTTTATTTGGAACTTTGAAGAAACAGAATGACATGATACAGAAATTGCCACCTTTCACTTCTGATTAGGTTTTTTTTCAGGTAAATCAAATACAATCTGTGTAGTTAATGGTCACTCATGAGCCAGTTGGCACTTTTACACGTGGGAACCTTGTCGGTTTGGTCGTTTCCACCAGACACTTGGTTTATTATTTGTGTTCGCTCTTATCTTTCATCTGTCATTGTTGACCGTTGTTTCAGTGTTTACAGCCCCTGAAGAAACCTGCAACAAAACACATGCACCACACATGATTCAMTTKWSWGWMATATATATATATATATAATCAATATAATGGGTAAAATCAATGATTTAATACACAGTCAAACTAATTAAATTCTTTTTTATATTTGAGAAGAGTTAATGTTCTGTATTACATACGTAGGATATAAAGACATATGAGTCAGCAGCACTTTGAGGACATTAAAACTTGAACAGCAGAAATCATCTTTTATCCTTTATTAGTCAGATTAAGTGTCAATTCTATTTGTATAAGTAGTGGAGACGTAATGTTCTATCCGTTGATTGAAAAGGGAGAGACACCCACCTCAGCCTGCACTTGTTCAGAAAAATGCCTCTCTTCTCTGGATACTCTCTCCTCAGGCCATTATCTGTGAGAGCAGACATGATAAAATAATCCCATACACTGTGTGAGACAACCCTGAAATCTAAATGCCCATACAAGCCATTGCAAGGTGATTTAAGATATTTGACTTTTTGTAAACTCACTCACCAGGCTCTGAGTTTCTCCTCCCCATAAGACCAACAAAAATGTCATGCATTTCTCCTATCAAGAAGAATGAGATCCATTTAAGTGTTTTTTCAATCACTTTAAAGAAAACAGAATCACTTCGTCATATGATTAATAAAAGACAAAGGTCTCACTTTTTTGTGGAGACTGTACAATGTTGGCATCTGATTAAAAAAAGGGAAAAAGGTTTCAGAAACAGTAGTTGGAGCATTTGATTGAAAACACTGATCAAAATAAAAACAGTCTCTTGTATTTTCTCGCTCCAGATTTTATTATTAACACAAGGACACTTATCTTTAACTTAAAACAAATTGATTTTATCACTGGTCGTCAGTTGGAAAGAAGACTCACCCGTATTTCTTCTGCCCATCAATCCCACAAAGCTGTCATAATCCAAATCACTATACCTCTTCAGAATGTTCCGCTTTAGGTTGTTCAAACCTACAGACTGGTGCAATTATAAAAAAACACAAAAACATTATTTTCTGTTGAAATATATTCTGTACATGTTTTTGGCCATTACGCACGAAGAAACCTACATCTGAAGTTGATCTGCGCGATCCGGTTTCTTCGCATCTGGACTGGCTGTGCCGAAGTTTCAGGATGAAGAACAGAGTCACCAGCAGCAAACCTCTCCTCATTTTCTCAGCACCACCTACGCGAAGAGATTTAGGATAAATCCCGTTTTATTAGATTGTTTTTTCATGAGCAAATACATCGCATTCTCATTAAGGAACCAGTTGTACTTGTTGCGCACAGTTCGCTGCGTAATGGATGCGTAAAAGCGCATTTAAGGTACAATTACAAAGATATAGTAAATAAATACTCATACATTCCCTTTGCAAAAAGTCAAACCTTAAATCCAAACCATCAAAATATAATAATCTGTAAATATTTTTTACTTTAAGCAATACGAAGTGCATTTTTCTTTATTCTTACCTGATTCCTGACGAGCAGGGGATTTTGTAAAAGAGTGAGCTGAGTGCGCCCTGGTGCAGAGTGGAGAGGGTACGGATAGATCCTGCAGTGAGATCCGGAGAGGATAACCAGGGTGTTCCAGGCTTTAGGGTAATAAGCAATAGCTGGATACCTGCGTAACGCCAATCAGCAACTGATGCGTAGGAGGGGTATCAGGTCTTATATCACGTTGAGCTGAAGGCTACGTAGCCTAATTATTGATGGTCATGATGCTGCTGAGAGCTGAGAGAGCCCCCAACAAAACACGCACGCGCACACACCCTCATAAAAAAGAAATTGGTCCACGCAACGTCACGAGAAAGTGCATGTTCTTGGATTCAAGCCCATCCTTTCCATCAGGGGATTTGATGGGAGATTTGGCTCAAAAAAGGCACGAACCAACATAACAATTTTAATAGAAGTTTCACTGTTTGAGTTAGAAACTGAACTAAAGTACACCAGTCTCATTTATCCATCTCACTGCCATCACATGCTCCTCTAGGCTCCACTGACCAGTTGACATAATCACTGACAAGATAATAATCTTTTCAGGAAGTCATTATACAAAACAGCTTCCTCTCCATGTCAGTACAGAAGATGGTGATGTATGTGACTAGACAGGTTCCACAGATGGTACTGCAGTTGACTCAGGGACTCATTCAAACACAAAATATGAAAAGACGACAAATCCACCTACTGAACATCTGAGCAGGTTCACGTTAGTGAATGGAAGAGCAAGTTCATTTCCCCTTCGTAGTAAATTTGATTAAAAATAAATGGACATTTTAAAAAACAGACCAAATTCAAGTGCATTGCTTATCACGTGGCATGTTTTTAAAAAACTGTTCTTCATTTCAGTTAATTTTCTAGCTGTGACCACAAGTGAAGCAGTAAACGCAGACATTATCAACACAACCACTGAACAGGCAGGCAGACGTTCTAAGTTGTCACGACTAAAATCCAGACGTGCTGCTTGGACAGACAGATCTTCATACCAGTATTGACGCGATGAGTAACACGAGGTTCTGAGGGTCACTTGAAATCGTTTTCAATGCAGCTAGGTTCCCTGTTAAACTGCTCTGACAGGTGGTGAGATGAAATGTCTGTCCTAGACGCACCAGTAAAAGCAGCACTATGTGATTTAGCTGCTCTGACGCTGCTCATTTCTGTTAAAATATACATAGGCTGGGGAATAACATTTAGTATTCATGTAAATAAAATGTGAGTGAAAAAGTATTTACCCTTACGTCATCAAAAGCGGAAAACCCAAACCCATCGTTTTTCTTGCAATTACATGAGCGATTTACGCTGATGTTTGTGCACAGGTTCAGATTCAAACAAGCATGAATATTTCAGCAAAGCAAAGTTAGAGATCATAGCTGTGAAGCAGGCAGCAGGGACGACTGCACAACGCTGTGGCCTCTGGAGACTGATGGGCAAAGGAATGACACCAACAACAAAGCACCAGGCAAAAATCCAAATTCCAGGAAAGGTTAACACCACCATGTTTTAGTGATGACTTCCCATTTCCATATTTGTCCCGTTCCTGTACGGTGTGGGGGTGAAGTGAGGGATCTGCAGCAGTGCAGGGGTTCGGGATGGGAGATCTGACAGAAGTGTGTGGGGGGGGGGGAGTCATTAATTGCATTTTTACATTATTAATAATGTTTTTGGACCAACAGTGAGCACGGGGGAAAGAGAGCCAGGGGCTATTTATTCCTGACATGTCAGGGCACAGGAAGCCTCTCATCCAACTGAATATTGGGTCAGGTGTGCTGCAGGGTTGGATGGATGTCCTGCTATACATCAAAGGTAGTCACATGCCCTGCGGACCGCTGAACACTATGACATGCACCCTCTTCTGTCGCTATTTCTATGTCATTCATTCCTGGCACTTGACGCACATCGAAAATGGCTGCAGTCCACACAATTCATGAGCTCCCCTCAGCGCTGCAGACAGTCGTGAGGGTGATTGGACAGTATCGCCCTGACATTTCAACAGGACGTTAATAGTCGGCTCCGTAACAGCAGGTAGCCCAGGGTGGCTGTAGGTGGACCAGTGTGAAAGAAGACCAAAGTGGATTGACACAGCTCAGCTTCATGCTGAGGTCACTTGATTTGAATAAAGGTGTCTGTGCAAGACAGATTTATGTCATATTGAGGTCTAATACTTCTCAGTGACTTTAAATTCAATTGGCAACTGGAAAACATTTGGATTTTCCTCTGTTAAGTGAATAAATGTTGATCTAAAGTTAATCTCCAGTGTCTGGTTTCATCATTCTCCCCTTCAGTTGTTTTTCTGAAATAACCTTGCTGTGGCTCATATATTAAGAGAAATACAGAGAAGGAAAGTAATAATAAAAGACGGTAGAAAGCCAAATAACCATGCAAGCCTGAAAGCAAACTGGCCTTTCTGTTTCTTGTGGGGTCCCTGTAAGGACATGAGAACAAATTCATTCCTCTATGGTGGTGGAGGAGAGCAGCAGATAGAGCCTGGAGTACAGTCACACTGTTATTCTGCTCCTTTCTCTCTAATGGAGCTGTCAATCATGCATTTGTGCAGGCTTTCATGGCCTGAGAGGGAGAAGATAAAGTAAGATCCACCCTGGAGTTCAGAGGAGACAGTGACGCCACAGCCCTCATATGGGAGAGGTGTTATGAAAGAACGTGCGACCATGGGGAGACGGAAGCAGTGTGTGAGGGCGAGAGAGTGAGATGTGCCAGAATTTTGCAGGATGTAGATTTTGCTTTATGTGTGCACATGCAGGCTGGGGTGGAGGCACGGCTCGTATAATCTCTGGCCAGTAAGTCCAGGTAGTTGCATCTGTGTAAACATGAAAGCAGTCCTTCACACACTCGGTGGCCGTCCCTGCTGTTTGCTGTTGCTTGTGGCGATGCGAACACTAAATCCAGACGCTGATGCACACACCTTTCAATAATTGACTTAATGGGCGCTAATCTAAAGGGGGGGTAACTTTGAGTCCACTTTAGCTTCACCTTGGGGCATGCAAAATGACTTTGATGAATGCATTTTTTTTATTCCATCTACTCCTCCCTGATCTCTGACTCGCGAGGTCCTGGAGTGTCACTTCCATCTAAATGTTAATTTGAAGGCTGTTTCTTTAAGACTGCAACAAATGCTGTGAAGGTCTACTTGCATTAGTCATCAGTGGGTATGAGAAACTGAGCTGTGGTGTTGCCAAAGCAAAGCACAATGTCTCTCTCCCCCCTTGGTTGTGTTTTTCTGTTTCCTCCTTATCAACCGCTTTTGTCCCCTTTAATCTTCTCTCAGCGACAGTAGTTAGCACAGAGGCATATGGGAGAAAATAAGACACTCTGAAACCATTTAGACTTTTGGACCTCTCTCAGATTGGGCCACTGTTTTGGTCTATCTCCTAACAGTATTGCCAATTTTCCACTCATGATGCCATGAGAATACTCTGAAAGACACATCAGCATCCTGTTTGTCTCAGACAAAATCAGTGCCTTGCACATGCATCGAAACAGATGCAATCAGACACTCTAGTCGTGTTTTCAACTCTAGAAATGTGTTTTCTATCTTGAAGAGTTTTGGTTTTATAAATCAGAGGAAATCGCAGAATATCTTTTTTTCTTCGGCCAAATGGTTCACCTTTTTATATTAAATCTTTATTATTAAATGATCAAAAATGATTATATTCACTTTATGAAAGATTTTCCACTTCCAGTGTGGTGCTAAATGTGGTGAGATGTGATGATTCATTCTACATTTCAGTCCTCTGATATCCTCGTCTGGAGCCGCATTAACATTCGCACGCACACACTGCACACAAGCTCTTGCCCAAGTGTAGCATTGCTACATCTGCTAGCATCACTACATCCACTACCATCACTACATCCGCTAGCATCATTACATCCGCTAGCATCACTACATCAACATACAATTTTGAGTCGAATGAATGGAGGGAGCAGCTCAGTTTAGACTATGACTTTAAAGTGAAACAGTAAAACATGAAACTCATCTTTTAGATTCATTGTATCAAACTAAAAAAATATTGATGTTTGATTTGATTCTTGGTGTGTGGTGAGGGACTGAGGCTACATCCACTATACTACTTGTTCATTTGAAGACGCATCAACTCTGGAATGGTTTTACCTGGCTTCCACACAACCCCAGAGTTTTATATAGTTTTATATAATCAACCAATAATGTCTCTGACCATGTAATCTTTGCTAACTAACTGTTGTGCAGTTAAATTCTGCAATTTACAACAATGCAACTGCTTTAATGTGTAGAAAACAAGCTTTTATTTGAGCTATTGTGTTTGCAGCGTAGCTTCCTGTTAATGTTATGAGACCTGCAGCGAGAATGATTGAATCTGACTTGTTTGCTGTGCCATGCTTTAATTAGCATGTTTTCATTCTTTAGTTTGAGTTTAATCAGGTTCAGTGTGCAGTGCATGCATCAGGACATAACCACGGGGGACGGCAAAGCTCAAGACTCCTCCCCAGCACAGGTGTCAGGTATTTCCCAATCTGCAATCAAAGCAAACTGATTAGTGGCAGTGCAGAGTGGCCTCTGTTTTTTTTTTTAGTCTGCATGGACTGTGGAGAGAGCTGATGCAGATGTCTGTGGACCTGGAGCGTTTCTGGTGCACAAGGAAAGTAAACCTCTTTGTTTTAAGAACATGTCAGGTCGGGCCTTTTGTTGTTGTTTTTTACGTTGATTTTTACCAAAAGAGGAAACTTGACACTTGATTATGTCTGTCAACACAACACCAGTCTCTGTGGATTGTGAAAATGGCTGACAATTTCTTGGAGTGTTGGTTTCCTCATGAAGGACGCTACAAGGACAGGAGCCACTGGACCGAACAGTGCTAACCTGACTAAGAGAGTCGGCCAAGGAGAGAGGTTTAAAGGACTCTTCTCCAGCTGCTGCACACCTGAACGTGTCTAGGTGGGTTCCATTTTCCCTCTTTAAGACAAACCATAGGAGGCAAATACACCGAGGTGAATTCACCATCTTGTTTCCTTGTGCCTAGAGTCTACACCAGCTGGACCACAGTTTGAGCTGACCCCACCTCCATTGATTGTTGCACCTTAAGTAAAATGAAAATAAATAAATTAACCAACAATTCTCTGTTTGGTGTGGTGGTTGTATGTC